ACGAATTATTTTCAACTCTCTTATTCAGTATATTCGCTTTAATCGTCTAATGACTTTGTAAACTATAACCTGAGCTTGAAAGTCCATTTTTTTGTCTCTAACAGTTTATATGTTTTCTTTCGCGTTTTTTTCCTTGCAATCGATCCAATCCTGATTTTTCAGCTCAACTTCCTCGCTGCTAATTTGACCATATTAGAAGACAGGGAAGAGGTCGAGTTACCATATGTGTCTATTAGCATACATTCTACAGAGCATTCCAATTCCACGACCTTATGCTGTCACAAATCACAAAATACTATTAAGAAAACATGGCATTTCGAAACGTTCTATAAAATTAAATCTTGAAAAACTTATTCAACTATTTTTGCTAAAGGCCTTTCGCTATATTCAGAACTTAAACAATTAACGAAACAGTTAACAATCAGCTTTAACAGTCTAGAACTAGTTTTTCTGAATTTGTTTTGTTTTTCTACTGATTATATTTTCTGCCCAGTCGACTATGTGAGTGTATGGAGCCCTTGTTGCTGAAGGCTGAAATAATATTGAAAAAAAAGGGAAAATGAGAAGACAGCCGACCATCCCCAAAGCGGAGTCAAGGAAGTTGTTGGGCTTAGAGAAGGATTTATGGTCACAGAATATTTACTAATCCTCCCAGAGGAACATTTTTAATGGCTCTTTTGAAGCGGCAAAGATTAAAGGCTCTTTTTCTCAGACTTCGCCTTCTTCAAATTCCACTGAAGCAATATGTCAATGAGTTTGCAGTGACCGCTGCTTATTTGGAGGAAGGTTTTGAATTTGAACATGGCAGTGACAGTTTTAATCAACCTGTCATTTTAAAAAATCAATATTCTTCTGAATGATTTTTTGCTCTGCTTTTTTTTGTATATATAAGTCTATATATATATATATATTAATAATAACTTGTCTTTCAATTTCTCAAGTCACAAGATTGGATTAAAATAAACTCCAAACTATCATTAAAAACTAAAAACTGGTTTAAAAAAGGCTATAGCAACAGGTAGGGGTGAATAGTTGAAAATAAAATAGAAATCAATCTAGAAAGCAAAATAAAACTGCTTGTATCAGTCGAAGCCTTGAATGTTGCGACTACTCTTAAACGTTCCGACAAAAAGTTTACGAATGAAAAAACAACATTTAAAACGAACAAGACTGCTCGTATATCAAGGCAAAGCCCTGAATGTTCCGACTGTCCCTTAAATCATATCGAATAGTTTTTGGGAAAAGAAAATATTGAAAACCTATAAACTGAGAACAATATCAAAGTGTGAATTGTTGAGTCCAACGAAATAAGTGCGACCGATCTGATTAGCTAGCCTCAATTCAATTTGGAACGATTTTGTTGTGCGGGATAATTCGCCACGCATGAACATTTCGCGTTACGCACTCAGCAATATGAATAAATTCTTCAAAACCCGCATAATTTTGTCCAGAACATGGCCAATTTGGTAATTTTCAAACCCCCAGAACTTCACAAAAAACAATCTGAGTTGAATTATATATTTTTTAATTTGAACTCGGGAAGTCAAAATCTTGAATGAGGTATAAAATGAAGTATATTTTTCTTGAAAACTATTATTTCGATCGACGAAAATTGACTGAATAAAAAAATCACACCGAGCATAAACATTCCGTTTTCTTCGAAGTTTTTTTTAAATTTTATCCCTAGTTGTTTTCCCCCTCATCCTACTTCAATTACAACGTGATCCAATATACGTTTGTAATGTATAAACATAGTTTGAGAAACAAAATTGCCTGCTTCAATTGTATTTGGAATGATTTGATTTGCCTATTTTGCATTAATATGACGAAATATTTCTCGCGTTAAATATCAGAAGTTGGCCAAGTTGGCAGTCTTCAAACCACAATAACTTCACAAAAAAATTCACGGATGTATTATTCTTTAAACTTTCAGCTCGAAACATCAATGGCTTTCATATAAAGAAAGTTCCGTGAAAAATGACAGGTAAACAACTACAACTCTGTTGGTAATTTTTCGCTTACGCGTTAATAGCACGAAATATAGCGCGCTTTAATTATCCCAATTTGGTAACTTTAAATCTCCATAACTTTACAAAAAAGGTTTAAATGTAAATTATTTTAAAAACTTGACATTTGGGATCATATAAAAACATTCCGACAAACAATGCAAGTTGAAAAGACAAAAATTGTCCGGAGAAAAACAAATTCTTCAAAAGTTGGAATAATAAACTACTATCCTACGGGCTTTGAATTGTGAACGTACTCGTTGCTCTACAATTGTTTTTTGAAGTGCCTGATTGTTTTTAAAAATATCATCTAATTGAATATTTCCGATACTGCCACAAATTTATCACAACATAATCGTGACCAAGTTTTTTTTAAATATCATGAAAACAAATAAAAATTAAGGTCTGAATTTTGACAGTCAAATTTGAGATAATTCTTGCTCTGAAGTTTCCAGTTTTTTATCAACAAGTATCAGTCGCTGCAAAATAATTTCGCTATAAAAGCGTTCCAAATCCAATTGATTAAGCAGCTTGATCTAAAAAATTTGTTAGCAGAGGCAAAATTTAACACTCTTATCGTGAAGGAAACGAGTGTTAGAAATTGAAACTTCTAAGTTTAGGCGTGAAGTTCGTTGGACGTTCGGGAAAAGCCACACCCCATCAATGTGTTTTTTCAGCCTCATAAGACTCTCAGAAATGAGTAAATAATTTCGGCGGATGTTCAAAAAACCGCCCTATCGTGAAGCCAAAATAACACCAGAACTATGTAACAATTGCACGACAACAGTGACAATCTGTGTTAATCTTGCGTAATTATGTAAATTTTTGGCTTGTTGAAATGGTAATCTTATTTTTGGTTTGTTGGCCCTTCGGCTTGTTGGCCAACAACCGTAAGCTTCCGTCTCTTTTGTTGCATAAATATTTTGCAGCTACTTCATCAGGGGCGTAGCTGTTAGCATGTGTGCCTATTATCAAGCGATAATTGCGTTAATTTGGTGCTCATTGAGAAAAAAAATCAAATTAGCTTACAGGTTCAAATAATTTTAAAAATTCCATGATTTGTATGGGAAATAATAACATAACTTTCGCCCTAATTGAAGTTTCGGCTAAGTGCACGCTGAAAAAAACTGCAAACGTGAAAACTTTCAAAACATGAAAATAACGAGTCTTCAAATTACATTCTCTTACATGGGCATGCTAATCGACACACGGGCTAATAGGCTGGTGCCCTACTTCATCCATGTTCAAAAACCATTGCAAACCAGAGACTCATTAAAACAATTACAATTTATAAATATATAAGGAACTCGCTGCTAGCTCATGTTGATATTTTACGGGCAGCGTTTTTGTTCAAACAGGTGATGGCCCGTATCTCACGAAGTCTCAAAAATCGGATCTGATCATCTATAACTTTTTCATTTTTCGAATCTTGTGCAGATCTGATCCATGTTTCATTTACATATGGGCAGGCTTGATTAAATCCTTATCAGATGTGGATTTTATCAAAAATCCAGACATATCCCAGACAAGAATCAGACCTGTTCACATCTGGAACAGATCTGTATCAAGTCTCAGTCACCCCTTTCCTGATCTGAATCAGACCTCGTCTGATCTGGATTCGACATGATCTGACCTAGACCCGACATGACCTGATTTAGATCATACCCTCAGCAGAATGTCAACGTGCTCAGATCTGGAAGCTCGGCAAGGTCGCTGAGCTGACCAAAACTTGAACATTCCAAAAAAAATTATATAAATTTCGAACTCATTAAGGAAAAGCAGAGGAGTTTTTTTATCAAATTATTCCTAAATTGTTTTTATCATTCTCCCAAAAAAACGAAACAAAACCTCTTTGTGACAATTTTAACTGGTCTCGCAGTTCAAAGTTTTCGACTAACTTTTGCCCTTTTTTCAAAAAAAAATCCAATTTTTGGAAAAATAAAAAATATGCACAACACAGGAAAAACTCAGTAGTGTTGAAATTTGAAAAAAAAAACAAAAAAAAGTTATGTGCATAATCTTTTCAGTTTTCTTAAACAAATAAAAATGTCAGTTCCAGTTCTAATAGCGTTTTTTTTGGGGGGGGGGGATGAACGAGGGGTAGGGGACGATCACGAACACCTCCCTCTCCAGGAATTCAACACTTTACCACCCCAGAGGTTCTCTCTTTGGTACTATTTTACGACAACTGACCCTAATAGACAGTAATATTTGGCGCTAAAAATATTTTAAAAAGTGCGGGTTAAGCGCGTCGAAGAAACATTATATTTTTTGCCAACTTTTTCGAAAAACTGCATGAAACTGCTTTTTCAAAAAATTCATCTGCAGCTCAGGAAAATTCGCCAAAACACGGTCTTCGAAGTTATTTGGATGACCTCGAAAAAATCAAATTTAACCCACTTAAAAAAAGTTTCACAAATTCGCTGCATATAATTATGATAAAATTATCGATAACGTCCTTCCAAGAAATACTGAAAAAAAAAAATTAAAAAATAATCAAATTTTCTCTATTTATTAAAAGTTTTTTCATTTTTTCATGGAAGGTTATTTTCCCGCAAAAAATTAGGTTTGTGGAAAAAAAATTAAAAACTAGCACAAAATCGATTGAAGAACTAGTATGCCTGGTCTCATTTTCTGCCCGTCGTGCCAAATCATCCTACTAGAAAAAATCAGCCAAAAACTCATTTATAAGGAGTGTTGCTTTGAAAACAACGCAAACTAGAGAAGAAAACTTCGTGAAGGTAAAAATTAATGATTAAAAATTGTCACAAGCCAAAATATTCATTGATTTTAAATAAACTGAGCCGACTAGCACTAATTTTTTTTTGCGTGCATTCAAGTTTCGACTAAGAAAACAAAAAATCCAAAGCAATTATTCATTGCAGTTGGGAAGCCTTTTTTTTCGTGTGTTATTTGACAATTTCAGCAGCGAACCCATTGTAATTTCCCCAAAAAATTGTAAGTAGAGTGGCTTACAGAGCCATAGTGGCTTACCGAATAGCCTTGTGGCCTGAAGAGCTGACATGGTTTCGTTGCTATTCAGGGCCAATAATCATGGCCCCGCCCGCATTCGACTGCAGATCATGGCCGCCACTTTTGTCATCTACTTCTTCTTCGCAATCCACTGTGTTTACTGATACTTACCACATTATGCACAAATGATGCCGCGTTTGGCGCTTCCATTGTTTTGGAATCTTTTCTAGTGTCGCGTGGAATGTCTGGCATTGAAAGCCGCCTATAGTCTTTCTCGCTCATTTTCAACAAACCAGCTGCCTTTGAAAGGTTGAGATTCTCGTTTGCCCAAATTATTCGCTCGCCAAATTATAGCATCAACTGCTAATAATTAAATTGTGTGGCCAGGAAATAAAGCAAAAAAAACTCTGCGGCGATAATAAGTTGTCTGATAAAAAAATGAGGAGCAAAATGTAATGTAATTTATTATTTGGAGTATATAGTATATAAAAAAATCGGTGGAAGTTTTTTTTCCTGTTTTTCTTATAATAAGTTGAGGCGTTGTTCCTGCGAGATATGTTTTAAGAGTTTGTGCTTCGCAAGTCTTGATAAAAATATTTATTTCTATTTATTTCGTCACAAACACCGGAAAAGAGAGGAAAAGTTACTGTTGACACTGCATAAATAACATTCAGGGTAATAGAAAATATTGAATAGGAAAATTTCACAATTTAAAAAAACATCCTATTGGTACAAAAAAACATGTGATCAACCTACAATTGTTTTTTCTAATATCCGGTGAAACACGTGGTGTTTGCTGACAATCGATGCAACGCGCCTTAATTATCAAGTTCAAAATGATTTTAGGAAGTTTGGTCTCAGGATGAAAGCAGATTTGATCAATATGTTCGAGTATTTGTAATCAGCCGACTCAAAACGTGAAAAAGACCGAAAATAACAAGTATAATTTATGACAAAGAGAAATTATTTCAAAATTCAGTCTTATTGAGAAAGAAGCAAAAAAAGAGGAAAGCATTACTTTCTGACGTCATCAACACTTCTCAGACCTGGGTCGTAAAATTATACAATGAAAGTATCACCAGGGGTGAAACTTCCCCATAATTTATTTATAGCCTTTTTTTCTTCTGATTTGCAACCTTGCAAAAAAATTACACGAAAGTGTAGCTTTCATGCTTTGTTTTTCATTG